GTGCACAGTGTGAGACCACAGCCTCTCCATTTTGCTCTCTCACTTCAGTATGTAACTCTTTGGTGTTGAATGAGGGGTGATCTATCTGTTGGAGATTGTGTGCACTCACTTGTATAATTGTGCACGATCACTTTTGACTCTACTGTGTCGAGGTTTCTACCTGAAGAATGTCCTGCATTTACTGCATTCACAAAGCCTCTCACCAGCATGGACCTCTGTTATTCTGGACAGCCACATGTCTCGCAAAGAACTCACACTTGATGTACGACTTTGAAGAGTAGCGCCTATCATAGTAATAGAGGGAGTGGGTAGTGATTAACATGAATTGTGTGCTGCTGCGATGGGTCAGAAATGAAGGACATCTATTTCTCTTAGTGAGGATCAGAGTTCAGTTATCAGGATGCATGGTTGCATCTCATAACTTTCTAACTCCAGCTTGCAGGGGATCCAATATCTATGGCCTCTGGGGACATCCACACTCATGTGGACATTTTCATACACACAGTCAAAATCATATAAATTGTTAAAAAAAATCAGCAGTAAGAAAGGATACTCTTGGACTGGGTCGGGTCATTGTACTGACTGCTCTGAGTCTTCCAGCTTCTTAGACGGGGCAACAACTGGTTTTCTAGGCTTCCCAGTCTTCATGGGACTATCCAGCCTTTGCATAAAGCAATTTAGCCTTAGTCTCCTTGATGGGGATGTCTTTCTGCATGCTGTTAATATGTTTCTCTTATTGGTTGATGAATAAAACACTGATTGTCCTTAGCTAGGGACAAAGTATGGGCAGGGTTACCAGACTAGGAGAATTCTGGGTAGAGGAAGGCAGAGAGGAGCAGCCAGGGAGAGGCAATGTAGCTACCGGGAAGATAGAACACTGGGCATTCTCCGATAATATAAGGTCATATAGAAATACATAGATTAATAGTTATGGATTAATAATTAAGTGAGAGCTAGCCAGTAAGGAGCTTAAGCCATCGGCCAAACAGTTTATAATTCATATAAGCCTCTGTATGTTTGCTTGGACAAAACGGCTGCAGGACCAGGTGCATTCTGTCTACACTCCTTTTAATTGTATATCTATTTTTTATTGGTTCTATTCCCCTTGATAACTATAATACAACATCCAGTCACAGGGTAAATACAGTGACACCAAGAAAATAAAAGGAAGAGAAAGAAAACCAAAAGCAAAACAACAAAAACTAGAATGTAGGTATATACCAAAATTCAGGGCTGGGATTCAGCTTAGCCGATATTGACTTAGCAAGTATGGAGCCCGGCATTTGATCTCCAGCACCACAAAATCTGGGCAGGGTGGAGCATGTTTATAATCCCAGAACTAGAAAGATAGAAGCAACATTCCATAATGAGGGCTGCTCTCTCAGCCTGGGCTCTTGGAGAAGGGCCTAGGCCCTGCCCTGAATGAAGGACAGACTATGGGGAATGGAGTGGGGACTGAGGGAGGGGGGCTGGGGAGCCTGGTGTGGGGCGGGGGAGGAGGGAAAGGAGAGGGAGCTGGGATTGACTTGTGAAGCAAGCTTGTTTCTAATTTAAATGTAAATTACGTATAATAAATATAATTGTTTCTAGTTAAAAAATAAATGTATCAACTAAATAAATTAGCTTAAAAAAGAAATATCTATATAAAAAAAAAGAAAGATAGAGGCAGGAGGATAAGTCTAATATCATTCTCAGCTAATGAACTCAAAGCCAATCTAGACTACATGAGACACACAAACAGAAACTACTTTGTAATATTCATATATGTATATATGCACACTTAATTGCAGTTGATTTGTAAGGATTCACAGTGTTTCATCATATAATCTTTACTATTCACATATATGAAAATATTCATATACCCATTTTACACTTAGAAGAATACATTAAAAAGGGTTTAGGAAACTTGGTTTCAAGCATGCATATTAAACAGAAACAATGGATATATACAAAATTTTGGTAACATAATTAGACCTCAACAAAATTATCTTTAAAAAGCAACTGTGATTAGACTATAAATGAAATTATAAAATAAAAAATGGAAAAAAAGCAAAGGTAATAATCCAAAGTTCTCATTTCTAATGTTTTATTTACATATTAATGTTCTTCAGGTAATTCGTGACTATTGCATCAATATGATGATAAAAGGAACATGCTATTACATGTCTCTTCCCAACTAAGTATTTGATACCTCTGTGGCAGATGGGCATTGGCCATGGTAGGAATGCAATTAAATATTCAAACCAGTACTTGCTTGTTGGGAAATGACTAGACTTCTGAGACAGGAAATATGTTACTAATGCAGACAATGTTTAAAGACTGTAGTGCCTGTGACTATTACACTGTGAATAAAAGAGAAATAATGCTAAAATATTGTTCTAGCACTGAGAAACATTTACTCCCACTTATCAAGGACTAGTCTGTGAAACCACTGGAGAATGAATGAACGAAATCTTAAAACATATTTTTAGTGTACAACTATTTATTAATGAAAAGGACAGCAACACCAATTTCCACTCAAATAGGCAAAACCACAAAGTTTTACAAACATACAGTTGGCAAATAAACACATAAAAATATTCAATATCATGAAACACAGAAAAAAGCAATTAAGACTATGATATATATGTTATTACACACATATTTTAATGGCTCAAATCAAACACATTATACATACCAAACACGAACAAGAGTGTGTACAAGTTAGTCCACAAGCTGTGTAGATCAGTGGTTCTCAAACTGTGGGTCAGCAACCCTTTGGAGTGGAACAACCCTTTCACAGGGGTCGCCTAACACCATCAGAAAACACATGTTTACATTATGGTTCATAACAGTGGTAAAATTACAGTTATGAAATAGCAAAAAAAATTTATTTGTACGGGGTCCCCCAAACATGCAGAACTGTATTAAAGGGAAGATTGAGACACAACCACTGGTTTATGTCAATCTAGATTAGTTTGACAATTTCTTAAAAATGGAAGCATTCGCATATACTGAATTACGGGCTCAAGAGAAAAAAATATATGCATAATGAGTCTTATGCCTTTATCCATTGTGCCCTTATATGTAGTAGCTCAAGAACGGATTCAACTTAAATATCCAGCAGGAGCTGAATGGATAAAAAGATCAATGGGTAGTGTTGTAGGTATAAAATCAAACAGAACACAGCAATATAAAGGGTGAGGTATTAAAAAAGCATCAGTGGTAAATCTCAAAATAATTATATATTGCAAAAATTATCTAGGACAAAAAGCACCTTTTGTTTTCATTCACAAACTGGACTCTTGTGAGTCAAATATAAACTTCTAACTCTGGGGAAATATTGCAACAGGTTTTGAGGTAAATCACCGACAAGGTCACCATCACAAAGGTAAGTGAGTATACAACTTTTCAAGGAATAAACCATAAAGATGACTGCATTTCACTGATATACCCATAAACTTTATAAAAAGTGATTAAAATACAAAATGCAGAACTCCTACATTTTGGAAGCCAGATGGCTTGGTAGTCTCCATTATGATCCTACTCTGTCCTCATGCCTGGGTAAGAGCAGCCCTCGGGTAATGCAGGAAATAATGTAAAACAGTCTGGTCATACCAGACTGCAAATACAACAGCTGGACTGTGATTACAATAGCCACATTCCTGAACTACAGGATCTCCATCTCATTTTCCTATTCCTATGGCAACAGATTTGAGGTAAACAATCAAGAAAAGACCATGGTATCCCACAAAACCTTAGGTTACGTTTCTGACAACGGCCTCAGCTATTGTACAGACACAGATCTCTAGGCCTTGGGAACACAACCAAAGACAATGACTGCTGGGTGCACTTTTACTAGAGGCACATTCCATCTGGCTAGCTGCAAACTCCATCATTCCCATCCTTTGTATGCTCAGTGATGTTTCCCATCTGGATCTGGCCATCTCATGAGTGATGCCAGCCTATGGAATAACTGCTATTGGGTACTTTCTTTGGAGACTCTTACAAGCTGCCTCTTCTCTGTGCCATGGGCACTTTGAGGACATCCTCTGAGAAAAAAATAGAGCACATTCATTCCATATCCACAGGTACAGCAGCTTACGGCAATAGCAGAGTTCTCCTTGGGATGACCACAGAAAAATTCCACATCATAAGCTACAACAATGAAGACCCTGGCGCTCTTGGGCAGCAATGCAGATTTGCCTTTTGCTGTCCCTGCAGAAGGATACCAAGCTAAGACATCCACAAAAGCTCTCTCCATCCTTTCCTAGAAACTTCAGTCTGTTTTCCAGCCTTCCCACTAGTAAACTGGACTCAAAGAGTTAAGGTAGCTTTTGGAGTAAGGCTATCTATCTATGTACAAACCAGAGCAATGGGAAGAAGGCCGTGGCCAACTGGTAATCAGAAGGCTGGAAACATTCACCTAACTGTCATGTGACACCAATTTAAAAACTACTTTATTTTACACAACATGGGGCTACTGAAGACATGGTTACTACAGATATGCAAACTGTAGCCCCCTTCAGCAGACAGCAGAGTAGATCTTCCTGGTAAAAGTTGAGTTGTAGGCTTGCTTTAAACAGCTACAAATGGAGAACAAATTCTCCATAAATATTCCATTCAAGAGTTCCACCAGGTAAGCAGCACAATTTGCCGTTGCTTCGCACGGTGGCGTGATTAGCGCACACTGGTTATGCAGTAGAGAAACATCAATTCTACCACAAACACTGGTACTGACCCAAATGGCAAGGACCCTGGCCTTTTCAAGTATGGGCAACGCAGCTCCTGAGCCTACCCGTGCCTGAACTCCTGAGTAATCTCACACCCCTGGGTGTAGGCAGAACGAAGATCAACCTCAGAAGATTCTCTGGTGTCATGATACTAAAAGAGGGCATTCCTCTTAAGTCTAAGGCTTTTCTCAAGTATGGATTTGGAGGAGCTAAATAACAATAGGTGTTGGCTTATCCACATTTGCTGCCTTTTTGAGGTTACCTACGTACTGTGACATTTTTGGTGATGGATGAGGCTAGAGCATTGGCTAAAAGAATTGCCACAGGTGTCACACTCATACGGTCTTTCTCCAGTGTGAACTACCTGATGCTGAATGAGACCAGACTTTTGGCTAAAGGACTTCCCACACTGACCACACTCGTAGGGCCTTGCTCCTGTGTGAATCCTCCGGTGTTGAATGAGGATGGAGCTTTGGCTGAAGGACTTCCCACACTCACCACACTTATAAGGCCTTTCTCCGGTGTGAACTCTCTGATGTTTAATAAGGGTAGCTTTTTGGCTAAAGGACTTCCCACACTGGTTACACTCATACGGCTTTGCTCCGGTGTGAATTCTCCGGTGTTGGTTAAGAATGGCACTCTGACTAAAGGAATTCCCACACTCAGTGCACTTGTATGGCCTTTCTCCGGTGTGAACTCGCTGGTGTTTCACAAGTGTGGCTTTTTGACTAAAGGACTTCCCACACTGGCTACACTCATAAGGTCTCGCTCCAGTGTGAATTTTCTGGTGGTCAACAAGACTGGAGTTCTGTCTAAATAACTTCCCACATTCACCACACTCATAAGGCCTTTCTCCGGTGTGGATTCTACGGTGATCATTCAGGTGGGAGGTTTGGCTAAAGAATTTCCCACAATCCCTGCACTCCCAAGGCCTTTCTCCAGTGTGGACTCTCTGATGTTGATCAAGCGAGTACTTGCCCCGGAAGGTTTTCCCACATCTGCTGCACTCATAGAGCTTTTTCCTGTTCGAGGCTTTCGGCTGGTGAACAAGTGTTTGCTTCTCACAGTATCCTGACATGTGATTTTTAAGGCTGTGAGTTTCTCTCCCAGCCTCAGTGCTTTGGCTAGGCTTCTTAGTGTTGGGAAAGACCCGGGACTTCAGAAGGCTCAGTATGTCTGGGAGGTCCTTCTCAACATCCCAGATGGGGAAGCACTTTGCTGGCATATGGAAGAGGCATTGTTTCAAGTATGAGGCCTCGGCAGCATTCTGCTTCAAGGGTTTTTCTGTACTAGTAAGTTTTTGGAGCTGATCAAATATGGGACATGCCTCTACACTATGTTTCTGCTGGGGTAGATCAGGCAGGTGCAAAATGTCTTGAAGAATCAGGACACACTTTTCACAGAGGTGAGTTTTGGGTGTGGATGGGGTTGTCTCAGATAGCCAAACCTGTGATGTTCTTGTAGAAACTCTTGGCTCCTCGTCTTCTGTTCCATGCCCACAACCTGAAAGAGAATTACTCCTGCAGTGAATGTTGAGTATGCTCGGAAGAGGAAGCCCCAGCATCCACACATGCCACAGACGGTTGCTCCTGAACACAAGAGCTACAGGGGTGGGTTAAGGGCAGAGTTGGGTTGCAATACCAGGTCACTAAAGAGAACAGCATCGGGAAAGCCTCACTGAATGAAGGTCACCAAGATGGCATGAACCACAGCGAAAGATGTTATGTACTGTAACCCCGTGGTCAGACAGTCACCATGGAGTAGCCTCCAAATCCCTAGATCACCCCACCCAGATTGTAACAGGATGCCATCTTTGAGAGCTAATTGTAAGCTCTGCAGAAGGCAGGTTGTGTGCAAGCTCAGGGAACTCGCTCCAATTGAAAATGAATAGCACGTGCTCAGATTTCTGTGTGACACTGTGGTGGAATCCATAGAGGAACAGTACAGGAGAGAGGAACAGGAGATGCATGGAGACCAGAACAGGGGTACCGAGTTGCTAGAGAACACAGATAAAATAAGTCAGAAAACAGAAAACTATCATAATGGGGAAAGAGAATATAAAAACCAGGCTTGGTTGGTAGCACTTACACCTAAACTCTGGAGGATACAGGATATTCTTTAAGATGGCCTGGATATTATGACTTCCTCTAGTTGCCACTCACCACACTCAGGCCTCCTATGAAGCCACGTTGATGTTTCAAAAGAACAGATTTCTCCCTTTTGCCTCAAACGGTGTTACTACATGTGACCCCATGAAACAAGGTCCACAGGAAGGAAAAGACTCAAAAAACTGTTAGCACTGAGAGAGTACCTCACAAGAGATTACCTTAGATCCCAGGAAAGGAAACACTAGCTTTTAAACATCCAAAATGGAAGATCCAGAAAGAATAGTCCATGGTTCCAAAACTGCAGCCATGCAAAGCCCAGTTAGCCTAGGGGAAGGATGTGTGATGCCAATTCTCAGGATCTTAGACACAGCTAGAGACAAGACAAGCACGATGACGCCCATATATCAGGATGACTACAGGATGCCCAACTCCCATACCACAATAAGCAGCAGGTATTAGGATTACTTAGGGTAGAACACATAGCTCAATGCTACCACACAAAGCATCTATATCCAGAATACGTAGAACTCAACAGCTCTCAAGGTCTGGCTGGGGAAAGAATCAGTCTGCCTCTGGGAAAGAGGACAGAGGGTTTCAGGATGCTAGTTGAATGTACGAGCCTTACCCAAGGAGTTTATCAGTGCAAAGTTCTGCAGTGTAACACTGAGGTACAGGAGCCTCTGAGTCCTGTCAAGAAGTCTCCATTCTTCATGTGAGAAGCAAATGGCCACATCCTCAAAAGTCACACAGCCCTGCTATAACAGGGATGGGTTATTCCACAGTCAACTTCATCCCCATGTTGCCAAGAATGCTCATTTATTTACCCATTCTCTGCTCTCCATCCTGCCCACATTCATACCTCAAAGCAATACCGGGTCTCAATGCCATAGCAGGCATTTTAGTTCAATGCTTCCAGTATTGGTGGTATAGCACGAGCAGCAGACACAATGACACCGTCTAAGCTAGCATGAAGGGCTACATGTGTTGTTCTCAAACAATTTCTCAGCGGTCCTCCAGATGGTCCCCCTTGGATACACTCAGATGTGAGTTCACCCTTCACCCTCCCATCCTCACAATGGTGCCCACTGCCACAAGCAGTCCAGGATCCTGCTCCAGAGACCAGGTGTCCTTTGCTTCACTCCCAGCCCTCCAGGGTCACGTGTCGCCTCACACACCACTGTCTCCCATTTCTGCCGACATCCCCTGGACAGTCACAGCCTTACCTCTGCGCTTAATCATCCCTACTAAGTGCTTCACAACCTCAACGGCTCTCAGCCCCCATATTCGGTAACTCACAGAGGCAGATTTGTGTCCCTTACATTTCCCATCCGTTTCAATGGAATTCTGTAGACATCCACAGGATCAGAACAAACTTGCAATAACCCTACAGCATGAAAGAATAGGCACTACTCTTGACGCCTTAGTGTGGGTGTTCTAACAACGTTACTGTCCACTGAGTGGCTTATAAACCACAGCAATGCATTTCTTAAGATCTGAAGGCTTTAGGTCTGATGCCAAGGAGCTAGTATTGGCAGTTTCTGGCAGGTCCTGTTCCATCGTTATAGACCACTAATTTCCACTGGTATTCTCAAATGGTGGGCAAGAGCATTAGCTAGTTTACTGACATCTTGTTACAAGAGCACTCATTAATCTCACATACAAGGGATCTTATCCTCATAATCTAACTACCTCTCAAAGGCCACTCGGATTAGGATTCAACAACCGAAGTTTGAGGAGACAAAACCATTCAGTCCTGGCTTCAGGGTACCTTCTACTTAGTGGTTCTGGCACCATGACTATCATACTGTTCTACGCCTCAGAAACTTTGATCATACTCTTTCCCCTTAACTTCTCTCATAATTATGTTTCTAATGTCTATCACTTCTATCTAGGTATCCAAGACTCATTCATAGCCACAAATGAGCTGAACTTTCATTATTACTATTATGAGAAAGAGAACTAGTCTCAACTACAACACACACATCTTTGGCTAAATGCTGACCAACAGTTTTTTGGACGTATCCATTTTAAGCCACTTCCCAAATTCCAGACCTATAAGGCCACCCATCCATAGGAGATCTTCCTTAATTGATTTTTAAAATAATTTAAAAGCAGCTAAAAGCAATAAAATAAAAATGAACCCACATGCCAACGTCACATTCTGTTTGGTGGATTTTCCATCCTTCTAGATCTTAAACTCCTAGAGCAGTACTATTAACTTCCCCTCTTTAAAATCTAACACTCTAAACAGCAGTAATTTCAAAACCAACCTAGACAGCTACCACTTCCTCTACCTTCACTCTGGTCCAGTCACTATTAACACTCACCGGGACTATTAGAGCATCTTCCTCCAGGGTCTTCTTATTGACTCAGAACAACTGGGTTCTCCACGCTACACGAACACGGAGGCTGAGGGACCCAACATTAGAGCACCTCCCTCCCCCTCCCTCTGCTTTTTCTAAAGGAGCCATTGCTCTCATGGCTCTAAAGCAGATACTGCGATCCATTCATGTCCGAATCCTAGCCTGCTGCTCTCGGTTCCCACAGGGGAAAGCACCCGGGGGGAGTCTACGAATGACAGCACACTCATGCCCAGGGTCAACCTCATTCTACCGCTTCTTATCATTAGGAGCTACTTCAAAGAACCCCCAACACTGAATCAGGACCCTGTGCTTGGGCTTCTTAAGCAGTCTCTGGTCCAAGACAAGGTCATGTGAGGAGTGACAGCCTGAGACATACTCTCCTCACCTGCGTTGGGGCCATGTCCACTTCTGCGGTAATGGACACCTATGAGGAGAGAGACATCATGAACGACGGCAGGGATACAAAGCCTTGGGTCTTCCCATACACTCTCCCAACACGGAGCAAGGTGAGCCGGGGATGTCTCTTTACATCCGATCCTAAATGCTCGGTGCTGACGATTACCTCAGGGACCCTGAACTGTGAGTGAGTCAACCCGCCTGTGTTATATATTCATACTGTGAGCAGCTTCTCGGGAAAACAGAAAACCCACACTCAAGTAAGTCTGTGTACTTCCGTACACAAATTCCTAGGATAAAATTCCCCGTTTTACGATTACAGGCTTAACTATCCCAAGCTTCAACATCGCTCCAAGGAATTACACACGCCGGGGGCCAGGCTGTCACATTCTGCTACATCTCGTCACATTAGCTTTGCAAATAGGCACCCCGGATCACGAGCAGGGATTTGGGCCGTAGCGACTTTAGTGGACTCCCTCACTCAAACTTTGTAAGATAAGTGGCGAGGGCAAGGGAGCCTCAGATGTCACAGCACTTACCTAAGCCTGGTGCCTGAACTTGGGCGCAGCCATCCAAATAGGCGAGCGCAGGTGGCAGGGAGATGGGGACGGGGACCTGGGCAAGGCTGTCTCCGCCAGCGCCCAATGTGCAATGAATAGCACCTCTAGAACCGCTCCTTGAGACTCTTAGTCTCCTATGGCTGGACAAAGGGTCCTGCACACCATCAGCAAGAAGAGACCCCAAAACCGCTAAAATGAGCGCCACAGAGCGCAGCCGGAAGTCCCGGCCATCCTACCAGTAAAAACCGGACAATGGTACCGTTCTAAACGCTCATTGGTTCCGTGTTCTCCTCTCTGTGACGAGCGCATTCTGGGTAACGTAGTTCTTCCAGTTAAGCATCTGCTGGTGGGGAAGCCGTGTACTCGCATCACCTGGAACAAAGGCTAAGCGGGATGGCTGGGAGATGTCATCATGGACCGATACCAAACAAGCTTCTTCCAGCTGTTTGTCTTCTGTTCTGCATTCGTCGCTCGCAGTCTTGGGCCACCCCAGTGGTTTCTAACCAGGGGCCCATGAGAATACCCCAAAGGGCTGCAAGTAAGCTGAATTGGAGGTCAAAAGGAGCCACGGTTAGTTCGGAGGACTCAAGCCCCAAGAAAGCAGAGAGGATTCTCCACTTTGGGCCCAAATGCTCCTCAGATATGCTTATGGGAATCCATGGCTAGCCTCTAGAACTAGCTCTGGCCACTTAACGCCGCCCCCCCCGCCCCCAGTCTACCTCTGCAGGTAGGGAGTTTCATCTAAATCTCTGTTTTCTGCTCTCATGTCCTAGATCCCTCCCTTGGTATTTACCTCCCCCCCCCCACATTTTTAATGGCACTTGACTTTCTCCTTCCTCTGTCCCCTCAGAGGATGCATCACAGGAGATCACACATAGCTGTTCAAACTTCAAATATACGTCCAGAAGCCAATTTCCTATATATCATTAGGAGCATAGATGGCCTCTATAGAAAAACAGGATCTGTATGAGGCTCACAAGTTCCTCATCACTCCCCCTCTTCTGAGGGCGCAGCCCTTCACAAACAGGCCCAGCCAGCCACCTAAGGAAATGGCCAGCTGAAGTCACCAATGGTCATAAACTAAGGTTAAAAGCAACCACAGTCCACAACTGCCAAAAGACAAAATTGAATAGAGTTTCAGCAATTCTGAAACTTTTTGCTTGTGAACAAGTTCTCTGTATTTCTGTACTTGTATATTTAGCATTGGACAATCTCTGGACCAAACAAACAGCCGAAGTTGTCCCTCATGATGATGTACAGCATATGATTCCAGTACAAGTCATGGGAGGCAAGAGAATCATTAATTTTGGGCCAGCCTGGCTGCATAATAAAACCCTAACTAAAAAAAAAGAACAAAAATAACAAGAATTACCAACAGCAAAAGCCACCTCAACATGTTGAAGGGACTGTGGCCCAGTTGAGCATGGCGAGCTTGGTTAGCATGGCTCTGACCGGCCATGCTCTTCTCTCCCATTCCTGTGTCTGGCTAAAACCATCCTATTACATTTGGACAGCAATGCCCCCAAGGCTGATTCCCTTATTTGGCCACTTCCTCCTCTTGAGGCTGACAGCCAAGTCCAGCTATCTAAGTACTGAAGTCTAACAACCAGAAACCCCTTTGGCTCACCTAGTTAACAAGCCCAATTAAAATTAAACACCTCATCATTGCACAGAGGTTTCCAATTTTTCCTTTAGAAACTACCATTTTCCTCAGTGCAATGCCCATCTTTCCTTTATCCAGAGGCAGTCCTTTGTTCCACTAATGACAAATATCCTAGCCCCATTTCTGCTTCCCCTCTTCTTTTAACTGCTGTATTTGTCTCTTGTTCCCTACCCTCTGTTCCTCCGGGGCAAATAAATCTCATTAGTGCTGAGAACCTGGTCTTGGGGGTGAGTGGATCTTTCCTATCAAGTGTCCTTTTCAAGTGACTCAGTTGGTGGAAACTTCTAAAAGACAACTGGGCTGATTCTGCTTCTTCTATGCAGCTAGTCTACTGTCAATCTTCTTTGCAGCTTGGATTGTTTACTCTTAGGAAGAAGGGGCCTAGGGAATCCGCTCAGTTTCAAGGATTTTCTGAAGCTATTTTGACATGCCTCAGCTTCCTTCCTCCATAAGGTTTCAATCTCACAGTTAACACTTACGCAACAAAGCTATACACACATCCCTAAATAGTATAAGGAGGCTGTAGAAGTAAATGAAGACATTACTAGACTCATGATCAATTTTTATAATAGGCAGACTTCACTCGTTTTGTTGTAAAGTTATTCCACTTTCTGTTTGTTACATCCACTATTATATTTCCAATTTGGGGTCACATCTAGTTCCTACCCATGGTTCTTATATGAGAAACCCAATCATATGTGAATTTCTAGACAGGAGGACATGTAACTCCTTATACAGGAGATGAAAACATTTATGTGATTTTACAGGAGCTGAACAAATTCATGCTATCACTATAATGGCAGAAAAATAAACCTTCTTCAGTGACCCAAGTTTTCACCAAAATAGAAGTATGAAGGCCACGAATTTAGATGACAGAGCCCTACATGTCTAGGTCTTATACAGAAAACTAGATGAAGGAAGAAATGAGAACTAATTTTGGCTCTGTTGTACTTACAAGACAAAGTGAGATCCCCTCAAAAGCTGTTGGTCCATGCAGAGTTCAATTTTGTCTCCTCCCACCGAGAATCCTAAAAAGAATCCCAAAGACTACAGGTAGACTCATCAGTAAACACATTTATTAACACACAGACTAGAGGATGGGAGTCACGTTGATAAATGGAAGGCTGGAAAAATTAACCACAGTGTCAGTGTGAGACAACAATTTCCAAGAAGAAGGAAAGACTTCTGGAAAATTCCGACACGTCGAAGACCGGTTGCTGCTGGTAAAAAAAAGTCTTTACTGATGTATGTTTCAACCACTCAGAAAAACAACAACAACAAAAAAGAAACATGCTTGCCTTAAGACTTTGCTCAGGATTTCCTCCAGGGAACCATCAGATGTTTACCTTGCCTTAGCATGTTGGGGAGACCAAGTCATACAAGCTGATATGCTGGTAGAGGAAGATGGTTTCTAGCACAGAAAATGGCTTGAGTATAACTCAGACAAGGACTGGAATCACATCAGCGTGTATGGAGCGGTTTCTGGAAACCCCACCCATGCCTGAACTCACAGGAATAAAAACACTCTGGATGTCTGAAAACGTAACCTTTAACTTAAGGTAAGTAATTCCATTATAAAGGCTAATATTAAAGAAAAAATACAAAAGCAAGAACATTTCCTGTAGGTCCGTGTCTTCTTCAGCACAGTATAAACTTCCAATAGCTAAAAGATATTAGACTTTGGACTAGAGCTGTTTTTGCATGTAATTTTCATGGAGCTTCTCCATGGTGTGAGACTTTTCGGTGGAACAAGAGGGTAGACTGTTGTGGAAAAGATTTCCCACATTTCCCACACTCATATGGCCTTTCTCCTGTGTGAACTAGATGGTGTTGGAAGAGGTGACACTTTTGGACAAAAGACTTACCATACTGGCCACACTTGAAAGGCCACTTTAATCCAGTATGAAGTTTCTGGTGTTGCATGAGACCATTGCTTTCTTGAAAAAACTTTCCACACTCTTCGGACTCAAATGGTTTCTCCCCAGGGTGAGATCTCTGGTGTCGAACAAGCTTCGATTTGTAAATGAATGCTTTCCCACAGTCGCCACACACATGATGCTTTTCGGCAGTGTGAGTTTTGCAGTGTTTGTAGGGAGTGTCTCTTTGGCTACAGGATTTGTCTTTCTCATTGCTCCCATGAGGCCTGGCTCCAGGGTGAATCACCTGGTGTTCAAGCAGACTACCGCTGCGTGTGAAGAATTTCCCACAGTCATCACATTCACAACGCTTCTCAGCTGCATGAATCCTTCGGTGCCGAACAAGAGTTCATTTGCACCCAAACGATTTCCCACTTTCATGGCACTCCTAAGGTCTTTCTCCAGTGTGAATCCTGCGGTGTTCAGTAAGGTTGGAAATTTGCCGAAAGGATTTCCCACATTCATCACACACATAGGGGTTTTCTCCGGTGTGAACTCTGTAATGTTTAATCAGGGTATCTCTTTGGGTAAAAGATTTGCCACATTCGCCACACTCATAAGGCTCTTCACCTGTGTGAGTTCTGAGGTGGTTATTTAGGTGCGAGGTCTGTCTAAAAGATTTTCCACATTCGTTGCACTTGTAAGATCTTTGATGAGTAAAAGAGTTTTGGTGATGGCGGTGGCAGCCTTTCCCACTTTCAGTAGATTCAGAAAGTCTACTAAATGTTACAGTGTTGGCTCTTGGCTGGGGCTCCTGAGTGTGTTTTCTGCTGCAAGCTTCTCTATGTTCACCCTGCTTGGAATGTCCTTTTCTAGTTTGAAAGCCCTTTCCACATTCTGTGATTAGGTTTGGTTGCTCACAAACCAGAATGGTCTCTGGAGGGATAATGCCCAGTGCAGCTGGGACATTCTTTGTAGCCTCTGAAGAGAGAAAATGCTTTTGTGACACAAAGATTCTGCAGCTCTTCACCAGTGAGGCTGTGTGTAAGTCTCTTTTCAAGGTATTTTCTGAATTGGGATGATCCTGGTCCCGAGGACAGTTCGAACACGTACCCATCAAATATGATTTATGTCTAAGTTGGTGGACCTGGTGCAAAATGCCTTTCAAGACTGGCAAATAGATGTCACATGGGTGAGACTCCTGGTTAGCTGGGCTTGCTTTTGGGGGTATGATCAGTGACAATCCTTCTCCAGAAACCTGATCAAAAGGTAGTTTTCTAGGCTCCATTTCTTGCCAGCAATCTGAAAACAGAAAAATGATTATGAAACAAATATTTATTATGGTAAAGGTATATTACCCATGCCTTAAAGTATTTTCTGTAAAATGAGTTACATATTTTATTATTTGTGTTTGACTTTTCTGATAAGTTCTCCTGTATCCCAAGTTCACCTCAAAAACCTCATGTAGTCATGTATTACTTTGTATTTCGGATCCTCCAGTCTCAACAGGTGTGAACCACCTTGCTCTTGTATGTGATCAAACCCACAGTTTCATACATGTTAGCCATGTATACTTGTAAAATTAGGCATGTGGCTT